CACGATAGGGGATTGCTTGTTACGACGTATCGGCCGGGACTTCTATTTCGTGGTACCGGACCATGAGACCGTGAGCCATATATGCCTTGGCACCTTTTTTACCTCAGAAGAAAAGATAAGCATGCTGCTGCTGAATACTTTCAGAGCAAGTCTATAGGCCGATGAGTATAAGTCCCGAACCAAGCAATGATACGTTGTACTCACGAATTCCATCCAGGGAACGTTCGTCCAGCCCCGGGTCTTCAGTTTTCTTTCCGCCCAAACTCCTTCAAGGACTTCCATCATAGCTGCATGTTGGAATCCTGTGGAACGTCGGATTTTTCCGATACAAAGGCTAGCGTAGTGTATCTGGTGTCTTTCAGATGTCTCGGTTGCTGCCAGAAAGAGAGGGAACAACAGCCGCTTGAAGAATGGTGATTCCATCGGAACATTTGCACAGCAATCCAGGATCGCCGATACCGATGATCTGATTTTCTGGTCTTCGCAGGGAATTGCGAACGTATCAGGCCATCGTAAGGTCCTCAGCAGACTAGCATGTCGATAGGCCTCCGCAAGTTGTCTCCATTCCGAATGCGGTGTGGGATATTCGATCGCGTCTAGATCGAGGTCGCGAAAAGTTCTCTCCGCCTCATCTAGTTTGGTCTGAAAGTTGACTGTAGATAACATCCCTTGCATATGTTGCTTGGCTGCCGCTATTACGTCCCCAATCTTGAGGAATATCACGGCGGGACAGCCGACCAAAGTATGCAAGGCTGCGTGTGGACTGGTTATGTTTGCAACACATTTCCTGACGTTCTCGGAATAGGTGAGCTTTTCGGCACCACTAAAACCTCTCAAAACATCCAACCTGACCGTCATACTTGTTATTGGAGAGTCTTGGGATTGGATATGAGTACTGAACTTGCCATGATAACGCAGACAAGAAGAATATGGTTGCTGCAGATCGCTGTACCCTTACCAAAGGAGATGCAATTCTTCCACAAAGGAATGACACACCGTTCAAATGAACAGCATGGGCAGATATTCCCAACTCGCATATCTACGCATCGTGCATGTCATTGCTTAGCCAACCTGACTCGTGGTGTGAAGGAACTTGAAATGGAGCTCACATCATGAAGTACCAACAGAAATATGATGGCTAGAACAGCCTCTTCTTCAGCCTCTGTGAGTCCGTAAATCTCTTCCTTGATTAAGAGGGAGCTAAGACCGCTCAATGCAGCAACGCGATGTTGCAAGGCAGTGGCCATATCAACCTGGTTGGCGCCTGATGGTGATAGGTGCAGATGGCACGCAGTAAGTCCCTGGACTGCATGGAGAACGCCTGTGTGATTGTAGGCCAGTGGAAGGACATGTACGCGAAACGGGTTGTCTGCGCCTTCAACGACAATTGTTAAATGTGGGCTTAGCTCTTTGTCGACTACGGCTGGTTGTCAGAAATGATGATGTCGCGTCGGTCAAGAGAAAATGGCAGACTCGGATGGTCCAATGCGCGACTTACAGTAAACAAGCAGTTTCTGGCTATTGCCCGTGAGAAGAAGATCGTCGACTGGGTGCCCAATAATTGTCGCCGGTGACGGTGACGGGGCACCAAGGGATCGATCCTGGGGCGAAGCTGGAGAAGCGCCCTGTGACAAAGTCTGGAGCAAGCGGCGGCATTGGCTCGGGTGATCTGAAGATAGCGAATTTTGAGTCGATGCTGGTGAGCTCAGGTTTTGGGCGGGGGTAAGCTCGTTGGTGGGTAGGACATTAGGCTGGGCGCGCTCTTGGTCCTCTTCTGGCTCCCGCTCATCGCTAGCTGTTATCAAATTGGGCGTCTGTAAAGACTCGCAGAATTGAAATCGAGGAGGATATCCCTCACAATGCAAGCCCTTTGACTTGCATCGATTACAGACAGGACGCGCGCGGTCACACTTGCGGCACTTCTTCCTACAGGTTCCGCAGGCTGGATCTGTTGATAGTTAGCGACGAAGCTGGAGCGGGAATCGAAGCACAATCGGGTAGTAAATCACACGCTCAGAGAGCATGAGTGACAGAATGTCTTGCTGGTGCAGCTGCTGAAACTTGTTCCCAATCTGGCTCAACAAGACTCCAGCAGGGAGTGAGTGCTCTCTAGTGCAGTTTCTGGTAAAAGATCCAGAGCAGGAGGGGGGAGAACTGGGCTGACCTTTTCTGACGGCTTTTGAGCCCCTGGCCATGGCGATGTTGGCGCGCATCTTGCATCCGTATCTCCTAGATCTTGTCGTGAGGAGTTATCACCAAATTTGTGCGCAACTATGCGACCAAGGGTTGAGAGCAAGTGAAAGAAGGACTGACGGACCAAAGAGTCTCGCCTGGTGTTGGGTTCATGTTGGCTGTTCAAGACTGGACGCTTGGGCAATCCATGTATTTCGTACAGCCGTAAACCTAGAGAGGCGAGGTACGTAGCACAGGTGCGCGGCGTAAGCAGCATCCGCTAAGGTGGTGGTGGAGTCATGACAAAGGAATCTGAATTCCGCGCCGGGGACAGCCACCAGACCATATTACCTACTTGGAGGCGACAAACTCGTTAGCATTTTGGACAGCGTGTTGTCCCCAGCCTGGCGCCTCATACTAGCAGCCACATGATGTGAAGTACATCAAATTCGGTCGAACCATGATCATCATTAGCTTTTCCATCGTTGGTTTCCGGAAGGCTTGGGCAAAACATCAATCCCTACATTGTTTGCTTGAGGCTTTGTCGCTGAAGATGATCCCGAATCACGTGGAGTTACCGCTGTTATTTGTTGCTATGGTGAACATTAGAATGGTGATTGTGACCGACATCATCAAGGGCATAAGTTCCATGATATTTGTATAAGATTGCAAAAGACCAGAACACAAAATCGTCGTTTAGGATCGGTCTTTCCTCTTTCGCGCGGGAAACGCAAGCAGGAAGTGAGCATCAGAATAGACGTGTGTTCAAGTAATAATAACCAAGTCGAATGCTTTCACACGTGATGTTGAAAAACGTCGGTTTGGCGACGGTGTAAATCTTGTTCTTGCCTCCACAGCTTGTGCAGGTTTTTACCCGATGATTCATTGTCTCAAGCTACTTGCTACAGCACTAAAGTTAGACTATCCTCAACTTTCCCCGACTGGGTTGAAACAAGGTTTCCAATTTCCGTACACTCCTGGTCGACTGCGATCCAACTCTCTTCATTAAAAGTCGGAAGGACGCCCGTCGCCCTTCAATTCGGGCCGGAGCAAAAAGATGGGATCCATTTGATCAACATACCCACAGGCCGGGTCGCTCATCGAATATCCCATAAACTCCTGGATGGGTTGGTCTAACTTCTTTGCAACATCCTGGGGCACAGACAAGAACTGGTTCTCCTCCTGTCGAAGGTAGCCCCGAATCGAGAAGGTTGCAAACACGAGTCGTCTCTCGTTCTTTGTTGTGTTATGACCTCCAGCATGGAACGCGGAGGCCAGCATGATAAAGCCATCGCCTTTCTCCATCTCGGCGTAGATGCACTCTTCTACTAGAGGCGGCATGTGTCTATCAGTACCCCTTCGAGAACAGGGTATTAGTTCATCTGTCTCCCAAGGCCGGAGGCCAATTACACCGAGAGCCCGTCGCAGAACAGCGCCCCGGCGCTCGCATTGATAGGGGTTGTTACTTACCACAAATGGCTTCGGGGGATGAATTGGGTCCCGCCGTTCTCCTTGGTGACTTTGCAGCCAGCCACGAAGAGCCCAACAGCGGTCTCCCGGTTCTTATCTCGTTCATCATCCCATTCACTCACCTCCTGGTGAAAGTTGTGGCTGATGTAGTCGTCTCGGTGCAAGGGCTGAGCTTTGCCACCAGGCCCAATGCTCATAGCAGTGCAAGAGTGAACATATGGCTTCGACACAGATTCCTTCTTCTCGTTTCCCCACCAGAACCAGCTTCGAGTGGTCAAGAAGTGCTCACACACCTTTTGGTAAACTGGATTCATGACTTGCGTTTTGGCATACGTAGGACTAAGAGCTAACAAGGCCGGTGCCCGCTGAGTCTCTTCTGTGATAACCGTGCGTCAGCACAAACATATCAGGCCGTCCAACATTTGTATTTGGAGTTGAAATACTTACTTGGAAAGAACGAGCCGTTCCATTCCACGTCATTCTCAAGACGCTCGCGACATTCTTCGTGAGCCTTGTCAACACTGGCGACAGGAACAAGGGCTTTAACGAAGACGCCCCCGTCACGCTTAAGGAGGTAGATGATGTCGTCCACTGGGGTGTCTGCGGAGACCTTCTGGACCTCAGGCCCGTACTTGGTGCTCATGCCGGACATTGTAGTAGAGGAAGGCGCAATCCCTTTCAAAGTCCAAAAACAATGGGTATTGTGAGAAAACGATAAACCGAACTCAACAATCGCGTGCTGGGGCTATGGCGACTTTGCAAATAGAAAATAGTTTATAGACTTTGGTCTATTGTACACAGTCTCATGTACAATCGCTGCTTGAGAAAGGGAGTCGTAACAGGGCTATGCTTGCTACTCCGCACAAAAGTAGGTTGGCGGGCGAAGTCTACCTTTGCCTCGACTGGAAACGCTGGGAATACTTCCTAAAACGGAATAAGAACGCACTCATGTGAGGGGTGGGGTCAACCAGATCAGCCACGATCATTCCGCATTTCATGCAGCAGCACATGGATGCAGCCAACAACTCCGGCCTAGGTCCGCACGGTTTGAGGAACACAGAAACACCAGCCTTCCACCTGCAACCTTTGCCATCGAGGCTGGGTCAACGTGGCGAGTCCGGTTCTCACATGACGATAATAACCCAGTGTAGCACACATTGAATATGTCCACCAACCGGCTTGGAATGGCCAAGTCCACAGATTAGGCGCCTGATGCAGTGTTGCGGTATACGCAAGCCGTATTGAGATAACAAACACTCCATTGGAGATTCAGAATCTGGGGATGGGCCTAAACGCGGGGGTTAGGCCAATGTTTCGGGCGACCGGCTGCCTGAAGATATCGCGAGCGTGTTCACGTCGCCAATTACCTTGATACCGCACCGCCACAGCCATGCAATGAGCGACAGTGTAGTCTATCATTGCAACCCAGATAAGGGGTGCAGTCGGGTCAAGATAGGCGGGATGCCTTCGTTTTATTGCAACGTTGTTGGCTATGTTCGTACGGCAGATTTCATTGAAAATATAAAACTTTGGAGCAGGCTCCCATGTTCGGCGAGCAGTGTTGTGGTGGCGTAAGTTTATGATCTATTCTACAATTTACTTCTGCAAGTCATTGGTCAAGAGAGACATCATTTGGAAACTTTCGATTTGTAAATCTTAGCAAGATGAATACTTCCAATCGCAAAACATCTGTCTCTTCCGAAAAAGACCCTACCAAACCAGCAGCAGACACCAAACCTTCTCTCCTCCCCTCGAAATCACATGACCAAGGTATCATCTCTAATGGCACATTTGGCGGCCCGGTGGATGTAGACGATATCATTCTGAGGGCCAATGGCCATAACACGGCCATGCGGCGCCAGTTCAGCTGGATGTCAGCTCTAGGCCTGGGTTTCTCCATCACCAACTCATGGGTTGGATACCTCGTACGTTGTCGGACGTCATGGTCATGGAGGGATCTTTTACCAGCTGACGGCTGTGATAGAGCAACTTCGGACAAAACCTGATATACGGTGGGCCCCAATCTTGCTTGTTCGGCCTCTTGGCTGCTTTCGTGGCCCAATTCATCATCACCCTTGGCCTAAGTGAAATTGCTTCAGCATTTCCGGTAAGTTGACAACAGCATCCCATGCCCCTGATGTATTGCATGATACTTTGGACTAATCATCTTGGGGTAATAGTCAAGCGGTGGTCAATATCATTTCTGCTACATCATGGCACCTGCCAATACGAGACGGTTTGCGGGATATTTGGTTGGATGGATGTCAACGCTGGCTTGGTGGATCGTCACGTCCGTTCAATCCTGTTGATTCTCTGCATGTGAAATCCACAAAGCTGACTACATGTTGACAGATGCTCTGGGACATCTCTGTTCGCCGCAACCCTTTCAGGAATGATTGGCTTTTGGCATCCTGCTTTCGAAGGAACTCAGTGGCAGATCTACCTGATCTATGTTGGAACGGCAACTGTCACAAGTGCGTTATACCTTCTTCAACTGCTAAGCCCTCCTTCTTGCCTGTGGCTCTGACCAGTGACCAACGACTTCAAGTGCTTCCGGTGGTCTTCACGTCAAAGAAGATTACTTTGACCGTTCAAATTTCGCTCTATTCCTCCTTGATCGGTTTTTTCATCGTCCTATGTGTAACCACCGGCATGCATAAGCACACTACGCCCTCATCCTTCATCACACAGTCTGGACTCGGATCCAGTGGCTGGTCACCAGGGGTCGCCTGGATCTTAGGAATCACTAATGCTATGTACGCTTTTGGTGGGACCGATGGAGGTACGCAGCTGTTCTATAGATCTTCGGAACGGTCTGCTCCGTTACTAATCCTGAACAAGCAATTCACATCAGCGAGGAAATATCACAGCCGGGAAGGCGAGTTCCTCAGGTAATGATGCTCACGATCTTCATAGGTTTGGGCACGGCCTTCCCACTGTTACTAGCACTGATGTTCTTCATGACTGGGTTGGACGCTGTCACTTCGGCCCGACTTCCAAGTTTGGAGCTGATCAACCAAGCGTCAGTCAACCCCTTCTTCCACATGGTGAAACAAAACTAATGACGTTTGATTACTTAGGACTGGTAACGAAGATGTCACTCTGTTCCTTTTCGCATACATTCTGCTTGTATATCTAGGTTGGTCCCAAACTCTCGGTCCTCTAGTGACACACTCTGGTCCGGATCTGACTTTCTTCAGTCTGCATACCATCTCAATGGGTGACTGGCGGCCGGCTAGCATGGGCATTTGCTCGCGATGTAAGTATTCTTCCAACTCTTGCGGCAATGACTGATAGTCTGTGCAGCACGGAGTACCATTCTCAAGGTATTTCTCCAAGATTGACGAAAAGCGGGAACTGCCTCTGCGGGCAACGATCGCATCGTACGTCTTCGCCTGTCTGTACGGACTGCTGTACTTGGCTTCAACCACAGCCTTCAACTCCATCGTAACTTCGGCAGTTCTGTTCCTGAGTATCACGTATGTGGTACCGCAGGGGATCCTTCTATTCCAGGGCCGGAACAAATCTCTTCCTCCTCGCTATCTGAACTTGGGCTGGTTTGGGTACGTTTGTAACGTGTTTTCTGTCCTGTGGATTGTAATTCTGGGGGTGTTCATTTGCATGCCACCAACGTTGCCAGTGACGGCTGGCTCCATGAACTACACCTGTGTCGTTCTTGTCGGGCTTCTGGGCATTGTGCTTCTGTTTTGGTTCATTGATGGGCGGAAGAATTTCAAAGGTCCCAACATTGACTGGGACATGATCAAGGCTCTCAACTCCGCAGGAACAGCGACAGAAGGTCAAAGAGGTTAGAAGAGACTTCTCATGGCGCTAGTACAGAGAGACCTCTGACTTCTTATCGATGAGTAGCGGAGAAAATGCCATATCACAAATGACTCCTGGAGGCTAGCTGGTGATATGCCTCACGAATGAAACAGTCCCAATCTGGCAATAAAACGAGCCCGCAAACAGGACTCTCCTTGCATTATCAGTGTAAATGATAGCTGTGACACGATGAATCCTTGTGGAACAGACTTGATCGATCTAGGGAACCTGCAATCGTCGACTGAGATTGGGGTATCTGCACGGAAAAGCAAGCGTCCTTCGTATTCTTGGAACGGATCGTGGAGACTTGTACTTGAATTGGCCTAGCTCTTGCTTTGCAACCACAGCCTCCAGGTCCGATGCCATCTTTCCAACTTGTCGAGCCAATGAGATAAGTCCGGAATCATGTAATGTTTCTACTTCCGTACTGCGCTCTCTGATTTCCAGCCGTACTAAGCTCGACAAGACCAAACTTGATTTCTCGATTCTCTAGGTTTTAACTTCGCCCTTTCTTTCAAGCATCATTCTTGATTGGATGCCAGCATGGTAACTTCTCCAACAAGACAGATCGTCTCCCGTCCTCTGCCTTACGATTCTGAACTGTTGAAAACGCTTCTTTACAAGGAACGACTGCCCATCCCGTCCAATCTTGAAGAGCTCCTTCAAGTACGCCAGGATGAGAGATCGAGTGAAGCAGAAGCGACACGTATTGATGCCATTCGATCAGATCCAGCCATATATGTTGAGGCAATCCGGGTTCCTGGTCCGTTAGGCGATATACCAGTCCTTGTGTTGCATCCAAAGGCTGCTAATCATCCCGGCAAACCGAAACCAGCCATCATTTTCTATCATGGCGGCGGCATGGTTAAGGGCACGGCTTACTTTAGTCTGGCTGCTGTTACCGACGCCGTGAAAGATGTCGACGCTGTCATATTCAGTGTTGACTATCGCCTCGCGCCAGAAAATCACGGCTCGGCACTCGTGGAGGACTGCTACGCTGCTCTGCTTTGGGTCGCTGGCCATTCCAGTGAGTTCGGTCTTGATATGAGCCGTTTCATGGTCGCAGGTGTATCGGCAGGCGGGGGTCTCGCAGCTGGAACAGCACTTCTCGCTCGTGATCGGAAAGGACCGGCGCTTTGTGCGCAGCTTCTCGTGTGTCCAATGCTCGACGACCGCCTAAACACAACCTCAGCATTGCAATACGAGGGCGCGCGCGGTTTCTATACAGCTTGGGGCAGATACGCTTGGTCGTGTGTCTTGGGAGAGAAGACGGGCACCGGCAGTGTTAGCCCGTACGTAGCGCCTGGCAGGGCTACAACCCTTTCTGGCCTGCCGCCAGCCTAACATTGACGCAGGGGCAGCCGAGCCTTTCCGAGACGAAGACGTTGCTTATGCTTCTAGACTGTGGCAGAGCGGGATTCGAGCTGACCTTCATATTTGGGGCGGCGGGTGTCATGGTTTCGATCTCTTTGAAGCTCCGACGGCTCTTGGAGCTACGTCTTCTCGAACACGGAGAGAGTGGCTGAACAGAACTCTGTCTTAATGTCATTGGAATGGGCTTGCATTAGAAAGTGATCAAAAATGTCCCTCTTGGGTATTATTTTAGCGAGGGCCAAGAGACTACGCGCATCGCAGTTTTCAGCCTTTGGTAATCTCGTCTTCTTCGTCCTCCCACTCGCCCGCATCCTCCATGGCCTCATTGACCTGGTATTCGGCATCGCCAGCCAGACCATCGCTGTCAAATTCGTCGTCATAGTCCATGTCCACGTCACTGTCATCAGCTTCCTTGCCCTTCCCGGCATTGGCTTTCCGCTTCTTGTCGACGTTCTCTTTTTGTTGCTTTTTCCTGGCCTCCTTCTCCTTCTGCCTCTGCTCCCAGCGCTTCTCCAACTCCTTTACCTCCTCCTTAGACTTATGGACATACTCGTGCCACATGACCTTTCCAGAGCACAAGCCTTCCTCGACCTTGGTTAGACGCAGGCGCATACGAGGTCCCAGCTCGACAAGCTTGACGGCGCGCTTTTCGACGGCATCATCCTCATCGGCCATGTCGTCGTCAACCGGGGCAGCGCTCTTCCTGATCTTCTGAGCCTTCTGTTCCTTGACCTCAACCTCGGCGTCGCTGTCGAGCTCACTTCCGCTGGTGGCATCCGTCAGGTATCCATCGCCGTTTTCTCCGCCCTGAAGAAAATCGGCGATATCTTCCAACTTTCCTAGGTTCGGCACACCCCCCTTTCCGTTTGTCTTTGACGCCAACAGCTTTTCTGCCTTTTCGAGTCTTCGGAGCGGCCTTGAAATTCCTGTTGAACGTGTGGTAATGGCATAGTGTCGCATGTTGATGATGAAAGATCCCTCGTTCTCCGGGTCCTTTTCGCGGTTAAGCAGTAATGTGCGCTTGATCTTACTCAGGGGCGTCGCATTCGGGTTCAGCGGAGGGAAAACACTGGACCACACAGAGGTCACCAGGGTTTCGAGGTGTTTGGGCACCTTGGATGTTGCGTCGGCGTCGGGGGTGTGGAAGTTGTTCATGACGAGCTAGAATTGGTTAGCAGGGACCCAAGCGAGTAGAGCGATTGATTTCGTACCAATGGCGGAGCAATCTGCTCCTTTCCGCTACCCTTGGGGCGTCTCTGGGCCTTTTGCACGTCCTTGCAAAGAGAATATTTCTCGACTCGGAAGTTCAGCGTAGGGCCTCGAGGTGTGAGGGCCACGCGCAAGTTGGTGTTACCGCTCTCGGATCGTGAGAAGAGCATCAGGTGAGTGACGCCAAGGGGGCCAGTCATGACAACGTAGTCCTTCAATCGATTTGCTCTTCTCTCCTTCATTCGACTAGCAGTCCCTGGCTCCATAACCTTTCGGAAATCGGCAGCAAGCTGGCTCACACTGGAGCCAACCTCACCCGCGCCGATGCGGATGACCATGCTCTTGGGGTCTTTTGCGCCATTGTTCTCGCCGACGGTGGCCGGGGTGCTGGCACCGACGTGCGTCCTCTTCTTGACTCTTTTGCGCGCCATCTTTTGCAGGTTCGGGGTGGTGATTGACTTGGGTTGGAAAACCTTGACGTTGATAAGTTGTCGAGGATCCAGAATCCGCAACTACAAAAAGTATCTGGGCCTGGGACGAGACCTGGGATACTTTGGTCGCCTGCAGGAAATTTTTTGGCGGGGCCGGGTCGATAAGAACCAAAAACAGCCTTCACGTGCTGATAACATCCATGTCCCCACTAAAAACTTTCCAGGAGCGTGGGATGTCATCCATCAGCTCGCGCCAAACTTTTTGCATCGAGTCCTTGTCAATCGCTTTTCTCCCTCTTTGCGCCAAATCGCACAGCGAGCTGTTCACGACAAAAATGCCTTCCTCGACGACGAAAAAGTCGTCATCAAAGGCCAATATGCCTTCCTCGAAGCGACAAAAGGTTGCGCAAAAGGGCTCATCTTCCAAAGTGTCTCGCAGAGTCGAGGCGGAAGCTTCTCCGCCCCCAGCCGCCGAATCTGAATCCGAGGACGAAGACGATGTCGAAGCCGATGCTGATTCTGATGTCGAGATCAATGCCAATGTTACTGCTGAGTCCACGGAGGAAGTGACCAAGACCTTCAAGGAGCTTGTAAGTTGCACCCGAGACCCCTCCTTTTGGCTGTGACAGTCTCTAATATCGATGCTCTAGGGTGTCGTTGAGTCCCTTTGCGAAGCCTGCGAATCTCTCGGATACAAGAAGCCCACGCCTATCCAGGCTCAGTCGATCCCCCACGCCCTTGCGAATCGCGATATCATTGGTCTGGCCGAGACAGGTTCAGGAAAGACGGCGGCTGTCAGTTCACCATTTTCTTTGCATCTGTTCACTTCGAGCCCACCTCGGAACCACACCCCGAGAGGAGAGCCCAGCATAAGGTCGAGAGGGATATGAAGGCTTCGTCAAGTGTTCAAGACCCTTCTGGAGATGTTATGTGGCACCTCTTGTGGCTAAGAACTATCACAGATACCCCGCCGTTCTCCTGCTTCATGCCTACTTTCCTCTACCCGCCACTGCTGTACGGAATACAAGGCTATACAACCGCTAACCCATATCCACAGTTCGCACTCCCCGTTATTCAGGCGCTCTTGGAGAAGCCTCAACCCTTCTTCGGACTTGTTCTTGCGCCGACAAGAGAGTTGGCGGCACAGATCGGAGCACAGTTCGAGGCACTTGGTAGTCTGATCAACTTGCGATGCGCCGTGATTGTTGGCGGTCTCGACTTCGTTGAGTCAACCCCTGAATGCTTTACCGCCTATGAGAGTGCTAACAGCTCGGACAACAGGTTTCTCAAGCTATTGCTCTGGGCAAGCGCCCTCACATCCTCGTTGCCACCCCTGGACGTCTAGTTGATCACCTCGAGAAGACCAAGGGCTTCTCTTTGCGTTCGCTGAAGTACCTGGTGATGGACGAAGCCGACAGACTTCTCGACATGGATTTCGGCCCAGCCATCACCTCCCTCCTCAAGTTCCTCCCGCGTGAACGCCGAACATTCCTCTTTTCTGCTACGATGAGCACAAAGATTGAGAGCCTGTCCCGGGCCAGTTTGAGAGACCCGGTCCGCGTCAGCATCAGCTCCAGCAAGTACCAGACAGTCAAGGGATTGATCCAGCACTACTGCTTTGTTCCCCATACGCAGAAGGATACCTACCTGATCTACCTTGGTAACGAATTCGCCGGCAAGCGCATCATCATTTTCGCCCGCACTGTTGCGGAGGTACAACGGTTGTCGATTTTGCTGCGCGCCTTGGGATTCTCCGCCATTCCTCTGCACGGCCAGCTCAACCAGACTGCCCGTCTTGGTGCACTTTCCCGGTTCCGTGAAGGAACTCGTCAAATCCTTGTAGCTACCGTAAGTCCATGACACATACCACGCCAATCTGTTGGTACGGCAAACTAATCATCACCAGGACGTCGCCGCCAGAGGTCTCGATATTCCGCTCGTCGACGTTGTCATAAATCACGACCTGCCGCAGGACAGCAAGACTATGTAAGTCCTCTACTTTCCAGCACAGAATGTGCGGTTGCTAATCGTATCAGGATCCATCGAATCGGTCGTACCGCCCGTGCCGGAAAGTCAGGAATTGCCATCAGTCTAGTCACGCAATACGACCTCGAAATCTACCTGCGAATCGAGGCCGCCCTCGGCAAGAAGCTGACCGAGTACCCCACGCAAAAGGATGAGGTCATGGTGTTCCAGAACCGCGTTGAAGAGGCACAAAGACACGCCAGAATGGAGATGAAGAATTTGATGGAGAACCAGGGCAAGAAGGGCTCAACTCTGAGGGGTAGTAAGAACGGTAAGGGCAAGAGGCGTCACGACGACATGGACGCTGAGGAGGGCTAAGTTAATACCATCTGTCTTTTTTTGGAGTTTCCGGTGTTTCCGGTGTTTCTCATGTCGTGAGACGGCTTTAATTGCTGTTGAAGATCGAACAAGTTCAATCGTAGCAAAATGGTGCAGATACTTGTTTCGAATTTGAGTAAAAAAGGGGCCGTTTAGGTGAAAAGTGATCAAAGGTGATTTCCTATCAGCAGGGTCACACATCATGTCCTCTCTACTAGTGGCAGCAGCCAGAGTGGACATACGTCACGAGGAGGACGGCTGACCAGTGCTTTTGAGAATAAGTGAAATAAGTAGTGTAGTAAGTAAGGCAGTCGTCTATCCTTCAGACTGGTTGCAACATCAAACTCCTATCCCGAAAACACCGTATAAATCCCGACAGAAAACGAATGAATGGTCCAACAATGGGTATATGCCGAGAAACAAGCGCAACCGCCAGCGCAGACAACTCCCCAAAGACTTAGTACAAAGCAGTCGATCAGAAATCATCGTCGGCAACCGTCTCCCACCGCTTCGTCGCGAGCTTTCGCATCTTTTTGGGGCTTCCTGAGCTGCCGCCTGTACTTTCGTTGCTAACGCGTAGTTGCTCCATCTTTCGGCCCAAATTGCTCACACCAGTAGCGCCGCCTTTCCGGCCACCAAAGTCTTCGCGTTCCTGGAGCGGCTTCCGCTTGCTTGGGCTTCTTTGCGCAAGCTCACGCTTCAGGATTTCGTTCTCGCGTCGAAGTCTTTCGTTCTCGTCTTCGAGGTCCTCGACGAGCAAGTTTTCTTTGTCCTCGCTGGCCTCGTCGTCGATCGTTAGGCCAAGCCCCTTTTCAAAAAGCTCCATCTTGCGGTCCCAATGCTCCTCGCCCTTCTCTTGCTCCGCAGCAAGAGTTGATTTCCAGCGGGCCAGCTCCAACTCGAAGCGAGCGTCGAACTCGGCCATACAATCCTCGCGAACCGTCTGCTCCAGCTCCAGCAGCCTATCTTCCATGCTGAGTAGATGTGCTTCCGCGCTAACTCTCATCTCGCGTTCGTTGTCCAGCTCGACGTGGAGGTTGGTAATCTCCTCCTGCATACGAGCAATTTCCAGAGCCGCGTGCTCCATGAGAACTCTGTCTCCATTATCGGAATTTGGAGAAAAGTTGCGATGGCCAGATGATCCATGACCAAAGTATCCTCGGCGCTGTGGAGGCAGATCGGGGGATCTCATTCCTGACGACGGGTGCGCTAACGAGGGTGTGTCGGCCAGAATAGTTGATGTAATGCTGGGAATACGAGGGATCGTTACTTCCCTCGCAAGGGCGCTGTATCTGAGGATTTGGGATGTCGCGTTCGCGTCGCCATGTGCGTCAGCAGTGACAATCATGATGCCTCGCTGGGCGTTCCGACGAGGCACAACACCCGCAGATGATGAAGATGATGCCGAGAAGGAGTTAGAGAACAGAAGCTCGGTCATCTTGCATTGCCGGAATGGCATGACAGTAGGCTACGTCGTTTCACGTTAGATTTATCCCGTTCGATGGTTTACAGGCGACTTGACGTACCTTGCTGCTATTGCCCATACCGCTCTGCGCTTGAAGACACTGGCCGAGATACATCAGACTCTCGTTGATCTTTCCGGCTTCCGCAAGAGTTGCGCCTTGTGTCTTGGCATCTCGGGCACGCTCGCTGCCAGCCAAGTCAACAATGGTCAGAGTGTTGCCAGCCCAAGATCGATAGCGTCCTGCTCTGGATCTTTTCTTCACCTCAACGCAGAAGAATCCGTGGCTGCGGGAAGAAACGCTATTGCTGCCAGTTCCGGCAACCTGACGCTCATGCAAACCTGCTTCCAAGACCATACTGGCTTCTCGCATGTTAGTGCACGCAATCTTCTTTAGCCCGGCAACAACCTTTCTGTCGGAAGACTGCTCGGTTGATTTGAAGAGCAGTGGCCGGCGCCGGTACTCTTTCGTGGCGTTGGACTTGATAGGCGGGGTTAGGAGATCGTAAATCTTGTCGTTATATACCTCGTACATGGAAAGAACAACGGCATAATCGCAATCGGGATCCGAAGACACGTTGACGGAGCTGATATCTGGAGCTGAGGGGAGAGCCGAGGGTCGTTGGAGAGCTCGTCGAGGGGTAGGAGGAGGACAGTGTTCGCCCTTTACTAATTGTTTAGCTGTGTTCTTTACTTTGGATGCTGTAGTCACAGCCATGAAGTGCTTTTCAGTGACGTCTTCGTGAATATGGAAATCTTCCCGCACTGGCGTGGAAAGGCCATCGCGAGGCTTGCGCCGCGAATGATCTGGTGTCGACGGCACAAGGCGCACACCTGTCAACTCGACCGGCGGCTGCATTCGCTGTTGCCTTTGGCAACGTGCGAAAGACTGGAAGGGAAAATCGACGGAATGAACAGGGGGTCCTACAAGCATCGGAGTTCCCGCTCTTGAGCCTCCCCCGAGGGAGGAGCCGAAGTCTGCAAAGACAGTCTCGAGGAAACACGGTGCCGATATGATGGTAGCATCCGAGGCATCGGAGGATTGTAGAGAGCTCTCCAATGTCGGTGAATCGTACATGTTGGAGCCAATTGATCTGAAAACAACGTCGAGCGCGAGCTGTGTCATGCCGCGTGTTGAGCGCGAGCCAAGAATGGTATGTGACTACATGATTTGTTAGTAAAAGTAGGTCAAGATGAAACAAGGAATAAAGCTCAAGTCTACCTTTCCAGATCCAGTGACGCCTAGGGTGGCAATCAAAGCATCGGTGCCATGTCCACCATGAGGGGCCAAGACACCCTCGACAAGAGAGGCGACTCCTGTGCAATGGAAGACATCGAGCTGGGAGGCCTCTTCCTCGAAGACTCTGGTGAAAGCGAACTTCTCTGTTGAGCGCTTGCGGTCATTGGGAGGGTTCAGTGTGATATGGGTCGGATGTGAGCTCTCGTGTGACTCTTCGACATCGACGAATCTGTCGGACGAAGCTGCGCCAGCTGGAGGCGGTCTCAGGCGCAAATACACCTGAAAGAGGTTTGCGGAAGACTTTTGTGGTAAAGAGGAATCCATTATGTGCTCTGTTGTTGAAGTTTCGCCGTCGATTAATTGAGAAATTTGGCGATGTTTCTGCTTGGGGGCACGCAGTTGTCGTATTATTGATGCTCGTCGTCGAGGTTGAACATCTAAAGCTGGGTCGTATGGGGCGCGAATGATGCCGCTGGAACAAAGAGACACAATCCTTGTTTACTGCAATGACCGGGCAACGAGATAAGATAAGCGAGGCTGCTCCGGCAGATTAGATAAGCAATGGAGATCGGGACGTGCACTGATGCCCCTGGCAGGAATCTGATCTCACCCCCCACCAACTTTTTTTGGCACGGTGCTCCCCGCTGAGACACAGTCCTCGGTGGGTCTGGTTCTCGGTACGTACCTCCTGGTAGGCGCCGGGTCCGACCGAAGGTGGGAGGGACCTTGAGCTGGGAATTCAGACTCCAGTCCAACTTCACGTCTCCTTTTGCTCACATGGCCACATACCAGCTTAGTTGGTATAGCGAAGCACCCTCTTTACAAGCTATCTGCTGTCAACATCGACACTACACTACGGCCCGACTGGTCAAACAATTTCTAGCTTTTGTTCCTGAACGTGGCAGCATTATCCCTCTTTCGTGGACTTTGAGTCAGACCATTACTTTTGTGTAGTCACCGCAGGGGCAACCAGCAACTGGCCAAGCCTAAGGCACAAAACGGACCATATGTTCTTTCTCTGCAGTCTGGTGGTGGTGCTTGTACCGGCTTGAGAAGAGCTTTGCTAGCTCTTCTCCCCCTTTTGCACGTCCACACCCACCGGCTATACACACATTCTCGCATATAATAGCCCCTCGATCAAAGTTTTACTGAAGCTCGTAGTCAAATGTTTGAGGGCTGCACAGGCATCACCCGGCTCGTCAACCCCTCATTTCCCGTCAGTGAGTCATGAACGACAAGAAAGTCAGACAACGCGGACCAGTGCCGTCCAAGGCTGATCCCAATTCCTCCCGCATGACTGGTTGAAAATTTGAAATTGAGGCACTGGACCCTTTGGATGGATTGCGGTTGGATTGGGTTGCAAAAGTGACGAATAATTCACACTACGGCCAGCACCGAACATCCGAGGAGCCTTGGCCCCACCTAGGCCGGAGCTCGATTCTCCCTTTTTTTTTTCTATGGGTTAGTTATTCGGTCCCAATTCGCTGGTTCGTGCTTCTGAATCTGGACGACCACTCCGAAGGCTACGTACCTCGGGTACTTGGCAAGATGATATTTGGCTTTGAGTCTTTCGTTATGACTACAGAACACATACCAAAGACCTCGTTTCGTAAATGGGAGTCAGCAAGTGACTCAACGATTCTCAAACAGAGCAACCGAACACCAATGACTTTTTTGAACGACAAGTTACGGTGTGCTCAAGTGGCTGTTGGCATTGAAACCGGAGACGTAGACTGATGAGTTGGCCCCTCGATTGCCCCTCGGTGCTGCCCCTCGAACAGACGAGCTTGCGAACCGAGGCGAATCAGGAGACCGCCTACTTAATACGCATGCTAGATGCCGGATGCTTGTGCAGGCAAGCAGTGGGCCAGATCCCGAGCTAGTACTTTGTACGGATGGATACAAGGGATTCTACAGATGTGGCCAACAGTGGGGTTATGTGAGAGGAATTTGGACATGCAAAGAGACAGAATTCAGGAGTCAGGAGCTTGACTCTGTGGGGTCCGCAATGCACAATCTTGAGGCCGCAGCTGCGCCTCTCCCCATCTTTGGTGTATTAGCCTATGGGTTGCTCCCAGTTGACACCTGGACTTGCCGCTGTTCATGGATGAAGCGTCTACGCTGCATTGCGGTGTACGATGGCCTCCCTCTTCTGCTCTGGTCAACATCTTCGATCAGCAAGACTACGACAAATGGTAACTCTAGATACTGAAAGAGGCCAACGTGCAAGAGGTGCTCTGCGGGTCACGAGGAAGGATCAGATATTGGATCTGCCACAATGGAGGAATGATCAGCTTGTTCCCCCTCCCCCTCGATCTGGACAAGGCTGGCCCTGACGGGTGACGACAGATGGAGGGGTCAAAATCGACTGGGTGTCTGGACGAAGAGCTTGGAACAGACAGGACAGTGAGGACAGTGAGGTGACACAGGTCGAGAGAGGGGCAGAAATCGTTTGATGAGGTCGACGTTGCTGCCACGGTTGCGTGCTGTGCTGTGCTGTGCTGTGCATGCCTGCCTGCCTGCCTGCCTGCCAGGTTCGGGGCGAAGAGGGGCACAGTTGACTTGCAGTTGCTAGCCTTTTTCCACACAGGGTCCCTTCCTCCACAGTTAACTGATTCTATCCACTGAATGACGCCCTATCTCCAGCGGATGCTCAGCGCCTGCAGGGCAATCATAGGAGCGCCGGGGGGGGAACAGACCGCGAAAAGGCGGTGACGGCGTGCCGGATATGGGTTAGTGCCGTCTCGCTACCCACTCTAAGCGAACCAGATAATGGCAGGCACAGCAGGGCCGCAGATTCCCACACCTTGAGACCCCACCAAAACGGGAGACTTGGAGAAGGAGGCACGGAGGAAAAAGTTTGGGCGACAAACTGCAGGAGCACCAGCACCGAACAGCAGCAGTACGTATCCCTACAGAGTATGGAGTAGCAGCCCACCAAAAAAAAAAGAAAAAAAGTTCGATTGGGTGCTCCACACCCAGGGACGGGGCGACTGGGGGAGCCATATTATTTTCGGAATCCCGGTGCCTCGTCCTCCTCCCTCTTTTTTTCCTCTTTTTCCATCTCAACCATCAAAACCAATTTAACCCCACGAGACAACGAAGTCGCCCTACAACCTTCAAAAGGATATAGAAACAAAACACACACTTCGTCCAGAATCATGTCCGCCGCTTTCGCTGAGCTGTAAACGCCCACTGCGGAGGTGCCCCTGCGCAGGCACCTCTGCAGTCCAGCAGCCCATCGAGACATTCAATCCATTCTGTTTCCCGACGAAGTTTTATCCAGGCTTTCACTGTCCAGAGCCCTCATTGAGAGGACGACTCTGGCCCATTGACGGAAGTCTGCATCGCATTTCACCCGAATCGATCACCAAGCCCACTATTCACCGGGCTACGAGAAGCCTATCCGCTTGAAGAAAATATCTTCACCTCCACCTAATTCGACTTCCACGACCCCCCTCCCTACCTATTCTCACTACTCTCTCCCTCTCCCTCTATTCGACCCGAGTACAGACACGACTAATCAGACGCCATACATGTACGAACAGGCTCACCAAAAGAGAGAATTACATACAATACACAACCATAAACTGTTGGGCATTCACACGGCATTTGTTAGCGCCGATTATCCAGACAAATTCTCACCCCTCCGAGTACTACCATATTGGGTTTCAACCCCTGCCTAACCACCACCATGTCACGCAACGTTCGCAACAAGGCTTCCTCAGCCTCTCGGAAAGTCAAAGCCGCCAAGCGTCGCGACTCCATTACCTCTTCCTCATCTTTCGACCTGTCTGACGAAGGAGGATATTCTGCTGTCGAAGATATCAGTGATTCGTCTGACGATGACGAGGAAGATGTCGACGCGGCCGAGGAGGAACATATACTCCACGAGGTGCTACCAGTCCCCAGCATCCCGATTCCTCCCCGGCCGCCCATTATCCAAGAAGAAGAGGATGATGACGATGATGACGACGATGAGGAAGAAGAGGAAGAGGATGAAGAGGAAGAGGAGGAACAGGAGCAAGAAGACGAAGATGATGGCGCAGCAGATATCGAGGATGCTGCCAGTTGGGATGGCATCATGTCAGAGGTTGACGAAAGTGCTGCTTCTGATCACCACCACCGTCCTGTGGAGCGCCACGTGCGCTTTGATGTCCCCTCGAGTGATTCCGACTCCACCGATACGGAGGATGATCATGCCGATTTCTTCCCCGACATCTTTGTCGACCAAAGCTCTCTCGATCCGGCCTTCCGTCGCGAGATTGAGAAGGATGATGAGAACGACGAGTCTGAAAACTCAAATTCTTTCTGGGACTACCATGGCGATTATCATGGAGCCTATGGGTACGCTCCTGACGCAGACTCAGATGTTGAGGCTGTTGTTCAGGAACTCGGCGATGATGACACGCCGATTGCTACTCCCATGACCATCGGCGAAGTCTCTGAGATGTCCACTCCGGTCGCAGCCCTTGAGGAAACCCAAGAGCTAGACGGCTACGAGAGTGAGTTTGCGCTTTTGTGACGAGAAACATGAGAATATGTGATTGCTAACTTGCCCAATTAGCTGATGGTGATACCACTGAAGAAGATGAGCCGGAGCCAGTTGTCCGCCGCAAGACTAAGCGCCCCGAACCCTCCGCGGATCAGTGGGATGATTCCGACACGGATCACCCGGTCAAGGGCCACCGCGGCCAGCCGCGTGTAGGCCGTTTCAACCTCGACAACTCTGAGCGAAAGCCCATTGCTGTCGTTAACCCCATCTCACGAAAGATGATGATCTTCACCCCCCATCGTCGCCGTCAACTTGACCTGTCACCTGAACAGTTCAACTTCCAATACCTGGCCCCTATTGATGAAAACCAACCTTCTCCCATGATGAGCAGCTCTGCACAGATTATGATGAGTGCAATGTTCTCATCCAATACCTTTGGTGACTACCTCAACACCCAGGCCATGGGACCTACCGAAGCCTTCTTCCCCTTCCAGTCCGAACCCAATACTGCCGATGAGAGCTCGGATGTTGGGTTCGACGAGGAGGAGGATGACGAGGTCGAAAAGTCTCTCAATATCAGCGACTTCATCGAGTTTGATGAGGGCCGGTCCTCTGCCGATGAAGACGAGGACAACCAGTGGGACGCCGATCCCCTAAACTCTACCCCTGCTCGCCCACGCACCGCTTCAAGCGATATCGACCTTCACTCCCACATCAACGCCAACAACGTGGGAGCATTCCGTCGCGACCAGATCAATCAACGCCTCATTCTGAGCGACAAGGCCACGCAAGACTCTCTCGCTCTTAGCAGTCCTTACAACTACACTGCCCTGCGTGGTCTCAAGTCAGATCGCTTCGAAACCGCAGCCGTTCCCTTGACACCCCTCCGAAGATCCAAGAAGCAGATGCGTGACTCGGCACGCAGTCCTCTAGAGTCCATGCCGCAAAAGCGCAAGGCATCCAGTGAGATGCCCATCGGCCACAAGCGCCATCGCAGCATCTCGGACGTCAACTTGCTACACATCTAGCCGATGGTGTAACATTTGAACTATCCGGCATATTTATGCGACAAAAAACGGTTGAGGATGGCGTGGCATGATGTCCTCATGTCATCCCTGGCCTCATACACTTTGGCTATCGTTGCCCTTTCTGTTTTCCTATGTTACACATTTTTTACACTGCCCGTCGAATCGACGGGAATGACGGTAGACAAAAGCGCAAAAGTTATAGCCACTCGGTGAAAGCAAGTGTCTGAAAAGCGAATAACGTCAGCCCTATATAACCGACCAATCCTCATTGGTGGGAAGAATTTCCCTGTCACGGTCTGAGGCATCTGACTGCAACCTGTTTCCTAGTTTCGTATCAATGAAAATCATGATATCCTACCTTGTGTGCTGCTGCCGTATGTTTGTCTTGCATTGCCCATCCAATTGTGTGATGATGCATGGATCCAGGCTTGGAACTGTGACGATGTGTGAGATAGACTCAATATTTTTGCTTGCTCTGTCTGAAGAGGAATCAGAAGACACCAAGTATGTACAGAAGAGATTCATAGTTTAGTCCCATCAAGTCCGCCCCAACCCAGCAGTGGTCGTTCCTCATTATAATTAACCGTCCCATCCCCAGAACCGTTCCTACCCCAGCCAACTCATCCATTGACTTAGCTGTAAGCGGCAATGGCATTGTTGAACGACGTCTCAATCCCAGCAACCAGCGTCTTGGCCGCGGCCTGCAGCGCCTCAGGGACCTTCTCAACGACAGCCGCGCTGAACTTGTCCGTCGCGCTCTTCTCCGACTTGAGGTTGAGCAGGATGACCGGGCTCAGCAGGAGCCTGTCAAACTTGGGCTTGGCGTCGACGACAGCAGTGAGCGTGGTCTGCACGCCGCCCGCGAGCTTCTGCGTCGACTGCGCGACCCCGATGGCCTCGAGGGCGCTGAGCGGCTCCGAGTCCTCGGCGACCTTTGTGGCCTCGTTGATCTTGATGAGGAGCTTGGTGGAGTCGATGATGATGGGGAGCGTGCCGAAGAGGCCGCCGTCCCAGGACGACACGGTGTCGCCCAGCTCCGTATTCTGGGCCGCGATCTCGTCCATGGCGGCCACGATGGCGGCGCCGTCGGCGAGGACGGAGGTGGCGAAGAGGCCGAGGAGGGAGAACTTGAGAAGCATGGTGTCTGCTGTTAAGGTCTCTGTGGACTGATACGAACGAGAGCTAGGCTTGAATAAAGAGGTATGGATCTGAATATGGATCTGAGGCTGCTGATTGACCGAATACACCATCATGAATATCGCGACCTCAATCCGCTCTTTATACTCACGTCTCGCACGATTCCAGAACATCATCGCTGACATCGTCACATTGACTACATTTTTAGCTTACATGTTGGCTCCTGTTCCTCCGCCTACCACACCTATCCCACATCTAGCGACCTTCCATCAATGTCATGTTCCTCCGCAAACACCATCGCCCAAGGACACTCAATTACCACATCAAGATCTAGGCGACGTGGTATCGCGCCGTCACAATCCTGGAAACCAGAAAGCTTCACATGCCCCCTCGGCCGAGAACACCCGTCACCCCAACTCCCCTCCAAAAACAAACACTTGTGCCGTCCCATCACGAACACATGCTCAGCCAGCAGTTCACGACACCTCCAAGCCGAGGAGCGCAGGGATCTTACCCCAGATTCCGGCCTTCCTACCCCCTGAACACCCCCGCTGATCTACCCTTCTTCCCCTCATGCAAGCCTTGCAAGGTGCCTGCCGATGTGACTTGCCCAACACGAGAGTAGGTGCGCAAACGCCCGCCATTGGACTGCGTAAGGACAGTCCGGCTCCAGCATGGGCAATTGTGCCTTTATTTTCTCCCCCGCGTGTGCGCGCCGCGAATCGGGGCTGGCTGGATGGCTGAGAGGGCGGCCGGACGTCATGGTTGGTGCGAGACGGCGGCCTTTTAGCCTTTTTGGACCTGAGCCAATGGTTCCTCCGAGCTTTTACTTCGTCTAATGAGGCGGTTGACATTGGAGGATGCGATGGCAGCAGCTCTGTTATTTTCCTGTGTTCTGACGAAATGTGTTAAGAGAAATGGAGAGTCCAGTGGCTGGAAGCAGCAGCTTACACTACTTACTCTATTACTCAATTGATAAAGTCTGAAGACAAAATCCATTGAGCTGGATTGTCATTCACCTCACCATGTCCCTGAATTTTTTGTGAACGTGGAGGTTTTCATATACCATATGATTGTATCTAGTGGACATCCCTCATTCAAGTCGGATAATCAAGTCATGCCAGATTCGCCCACGTAGGTCCGGTGGTCTCGCGCCTCAGGTATTAATTAGCTAACATCCAGCCTCGAAAACAGAAGGGATCGAGCATGCACTCGTTGAAAGTGAGACTAGCAATAGCCATGACTCTGGCTGTTGCGAGGACAACCTAATGGGGACATCATTGAGCGTCACACTTGATGAAGATGAGCTGAGGTAGCTTCTGTCTATGCATGCCCCAATCTGTTGGTTTGTAGTAGATGACAAAACACACACCAGATGAAGTCACGAAAGAACTTTACTACTTTTTCTCGGTAACCACTCCCGGGAAAAGCACATGAAATGCAACCTCGTCTTGCTTTCGTTTCCCAAGGCACGCTGTATGCAATTATTCTCCATCCCCCCCCCCCCCCCCGCAAACCCTGTTGAGTCAGGATGCCGTGTTAGTTGCTTCCTGTTGCACTTCACGCTACAAGGCCCACCAGCAAACAGCCAGCCCGACTTTATGAGTCTCACAAAAAAAAATCATCACCAGTCGTTTTCCAGAGTCATTTGGACAATCCCCATCGGGGTCAAAAATCTAATCGACCGAGCTGGGACTCGAACCCAGAACCTTTGCCACCGGAAAGCAACGCGCTGCCATTGCGCCACCCGGCCGTATCCTTTGTTTTCCGATGAAAGCCGAGGTTGCGAGAACGGTGAAGAAGGTCTGCAAATGTGGAGTGAAGCCTGTTTCGGGTTTCCCGACGATTTTGCGTGCACAATCGGCCGTTGATATGTTAGCGATAGCTTCTGCCACCTCGGCGATGTGAGGTCGAAGTTTAGGGGAAGTAGGGATGACGGATGGCGGATGGCGGATGGCGGATGCGCAAAGGTCGTTTCGAAGTGTCCGGGCGGAGCAGGGTGGGTCTTAAAAGGCGGCCCTGTGTCTAAGACAATGCCGGAATTTGATAACAGCCGGCTAGGCAGGTGAAGGAAGCTAGGTGTGCGTACGAACGCAGTTTCCAAGCTTAAACTTCGTTGGAATGATGGCTTGTGTGTTTTACTTAGATGACAGGCAAGGTCCGAATCAATGGGTGTTGTTGCAGCAGCCGTAAGTGCAGCAGTGGGGAAGGTTCCAATCCATCACGGCTAACGGTGAAAGAAATGAAGTATCGGACGCACGGCAGCCGGGTCAACAAGTCGTGTCAAAAGCTTATGCAAATTGCTGTTCTGGTCTAAGATGCTCTATCCTTAAGACGCACGCGCATTTCGTGGGCAGCGCAGCCGGAGCCTCGACATATTCGAGACTATTGGGGTATCTAATACAAGCACGCCATCCTCCACGATTCACCCGACCCGCAAAAGACACGACCTGGCGAGACTGGGTATGCTCACTCATCGTCGTCATTGAGACCAAAATCGTCGTCGTCGTCGTCTTCGCCCATCCCCTGATCGTCCTCATCGTACATGTGGGATTCGTCGCCCATGTCATCGTAGTCGTCTCCACCGCCATACTCGTCGTCTTGGTGGTCATTGCCCTCGCCGCCTTCGATGGGCTCGATCTCTTCTTCCTCGTCATAGTGGTCATCCACCACACTAGGCGCTTTGCTCGTAGGACAACTCGCGGCTTCACTCTCAGGTCGGGAGCCAGGGTCACCTTGGCCAGCGACATCAAACATCTGTCGGATAGCTTCGTAGTTGATGCGCTTCGAGAAACCACGCTCCTTCATGACATTCACAGCGGCCTCGCCTGGTGTGCTGGCAGGGGTGGTCTGGCCTTCGCCAATACGTGGGCGCTTCTTCCTCTTGCGGTCCTTCTTCGGCTTCTTCTCCTCCAGCTTCTTGCGGAAGAGACGCTCCTGCGATGCGCGCAACCAGTCTTTGTTTTCGTTGACCCACAGAAGTTCCTTGATCTTGATCTCATCGGGAGTCAACATACAATTCGCCACTTCGGGATCATCTGCGAACTCGTCTTCGCCAACCTCGGGCGCCATTGAGACAGCCTTGTCTGGTTGCTGTTGGAGGGCCCAGATCGAGTGGATGCGAGCTCGCTGCTCGGCATTGCTGAATGCTTTTGCGTGTTCATAAGTCTCGGGATCGTTCATGATTTCCGAAATCTGATCTTCCATCTCGGCTTCATCCTCTTCCCACTCGTCGTTGATTGGCAACGAGGGCTTCGGTTGCCGCGTCTTCTCGCTACCGGCATCCGTCTGTGATGACTCTTCATTTTCCTTTTCCGCGTCGCCAAATTCTTGAGCCAGGCCCTCAAGATGTTGGTTGCTGTTAGCATCTCTTAGGGCCGGCTCGTTGACGGCGATTTTCGATGGTAGAGGGGGGATAATGTAGCCATCCTTGTCTCGACGATACTCAATGGTCGGAGCTGCAGATAGATCAGGCGGTGGAAGAGAGGGCGCAGGTGTCGTCCTGTTGTTACCGCCGTCATCTGTGATGGTGCGCTTCCGCTTCTTGCCAAGCTCTTCCTGCTGCGCTTGCCAGGCCTCAGTGTTCCTGTAGAAAGATGGGGGGTCGTGGGAGCTGGAGCTGAAATCTTGAGACAAGAAGTCCTCCACCGTCATTTTACTTGTTTCCGTCACATTGAACTCCTCGAGACGTTCCTGGATGGTGTGGTTCGTGACCTTGACAATATACACAACTTCACGAACGGTTCGCCGAAAGTTGTGCATCCGGGCGGCCATCAGAAGACACGCTCCGCAGATACCGGACGGACGACGACCCATGACGATCCAATCTTGTTTCATGCGACGGACAAGGCGGACAGCATCCTCGGCGACGCGGTTGGTCATATGCTTGAATTCAAGCTTGGAGGCGAATCGGTAGATGATGTCTTCAGGGAAGACTGGGGACTCTCCGCTCGGGAAGAGGCACAGGGTTCTGGTCAACGCCTTGAAGGTTCGTCCAAGTACGAAAACGTTCACCTGGATAATGTCGCCAATGTCGATGAGCATGACGCGACACGGCCTTTCCATTCTGCATGCGGCGTAGAGGCAGACAGCTGCGACGGTAATGATCTTCCGGCCCTGTGTGAAGCCTGACTGGGAGGCGAGCTTGAAACACTGAACAGCGGTGTTGACAGTATTATCGCTAAGATTGAGACGCTGAGCGTAACCCTGTATCAGGGCGCGAGCCTCACGGATGGTCTTCTCTCTGTCGTCGGAGCCTCCGACGCGGCGGAAGGCCGGGCCCATGGTCCTCACGCCAGCTTGGTCGGCGGCGATATAGCTTCCCTGTACCATGGCAGCACCGGAAGACGTCTCGCCAAACTGCACTTCGGCCACAATATTGCTGTCATCGGCGACACGACCGCAGGTTTGACAGATGCCGTCGACAACATTGGGCTTGACGCAGGCCTTGTTCGGACATTGTGGACGGTTTGAGATGGCGACAGTGGGGGCTCTTGCGCGGTTCTGTTGTGCCTGGGCAGCAGCGCTGGCGGCGGCAGCGGCGGCGTTGTTGGCTTGCTGACGTTCGGCTTGCTCGCGGATGGCTCGAATGCGGTTCGGTGGTTGGAAAGGCTTCGACTTGGTAGCCGGCTTTTGGGACTTCTTCGTGGGCGTCAGGAAAGAAGACATTGTTTCGATGTTGGTGCCTCGCGGAGGCGGACCGTCGGGGTGTCAGGAGGCCTAAGAGAATTCTGTCGAGAAAAGAAGAATTGCTTGCAGCATAGGTATGGCAGATGTGGATTGCGAAGTTGCGAATGGCCTCGTAAACGTCCCCTTTCCTCCAGCTCCAGGCTACAAAGGCTGCCTGTCTGCTTCGCAACTCAGACGACGTGGATGAAAGCAATGTTGTGTACAGGCGTGGTTTGGTGCGAAGTCGTCCACGCGTTCGGTGATGTGGGCAGCAGTACTATGATGGGCGAATAGAGTGTAAGTGAATTGAAGATGGTCCCGTCTCTGATTCGGATTGTCTGCAGAGGGATACTGGTGGTCGGCGGAATGAGGTGAAGAATGGGAAAATTTGTGGGGTTGGCGACGAGGTGGTCGAGCGGGGGAAGGTGCACGTTTGTGAGATGGAAGGCAGGTGCAAAGGTAGTGGGGGGATGTAGGTATTTGCTGAGTCAATCTCCGATACCTTCCATAAGAGGGAATATCCACTCTTTTGTGTTTTTCTTGGAGCCACTGGTTCGAATCTGCATCTTCACCACTATTTCAACATCGCACTTACGACGCAGAATCTCTCACAGCCGCCTCATATTCGCACCGCCACCTTAATTGATGTGGCTATGAATATGTATGCCTCTCGCAGAACATTACATGTCATTGGAGTTGAAGAACCAAAACTGACCTTGCGGGAACTTGTTCCCAATTGGGCAGTACTCACCGAGCGAAAGCATCATGCATACCGGCGGAGACTCCGCTGGCAACCGAACCGGTGTCAGCCAATCCTTTGAGCTCTCCTACCTGCGGGCCGAGTCACTTCTGCTTTGCCCCGCGTCTCCTGAAGGGATCGCGGGGCAACTAGGCCAGTGACATAGAGGTTCAAGCGAGAATTCCGTCGACACTCGTCCTGATCATGAGGCCTCTTTGGATTCATAAGCATCTTAAGTAGGGAACAAGCTTCACTTAGCTTCTTCATTCAGGGTTTGTAGTGCTGCAAACTTATACTCCGGGCCATAATTCTTCGTGCTAGTTCTTTACAAAAGCCCGGAAACCCAATCGCGCAGTAAGTACTGTGAAATCGGCTTCGGTATGAGCGGGTTGTCGGCCCATTGCACCGTCTCAATTATCTAAGGCGAAGAGACCCTGCATGACACCTTGGATCGGCAAACAACCTACAGTGCAAGTATGAATACTTCGTGTTGCTTACTGCGGGGCAAGTGCGTGAAGTCCCCAAGTAGTTTGTAGCTCTCACACCATCAACATGAAGTATATGCTGCAGAAACAGCCGCAATGCTACTCTCACTCGAGCCTATTTAACCCTCCAAATGCCCAGCAATATACCCTACCTCACTTCCTCAACTTCAGTCCATACGCACAATTTACACACATTGACCCTATTTATTCTCGGTCAGTTCAACATAACCAAGATAAATCTAACTCATCATGTCTTCCTTCAACCTTTCCGCGGCCCCCAACACAGACATCTGGAAGAAGCCGCCTGCCCATAATGTCCACGATGGTAATCTCGACTCACTCACCCTCATACGAGCCGCAATCTAACATATCCAGCTCCCACAAAGACGGTTCCAGCCAAGCCCCTGAGCCAATTCAAGTCCGCCAAAGTCACATTTACCGCAGACTGGTCCGAACAGTACGACCAAGCAGGCCTCATCGTCACCTTCGACTCCAACTCTGGCCGCGAAAAGAGATGGATCAAGACTGGCCTGGAGTACTACCAAGGCACGCCACAACTTAGCACCGTCGCCTGCGACCGCTGGGCCGACTGGAGCATCACCCCTCTCGCCGCCTTTGAGGACACCAAGAGCATCACCGTGCTCATTGAACAGGAGCGCGACTTCATGGGCCCGAGCTTCTGGGTGTACTATGTGAAGCAGGACGGCACCAAGGTGCCGCTGCGTGAGATTTGCTGGGTTTTCGGAGATGATGATTGTACTGGCAAGGATTGGAACTTGACTGTTGGCGCTCTAGTTGCCCGGCCTGCCAAGGATGCGAAGAGCGATCTTGAGGTTCAATTCAAGGACTTTGACGTGCAGTGGTCTGAGTGAGCATTGGACGGCGTAGCTCAATACCCTGCCCAAAGATCAATAAAAATACTTATGACACCACCAGGGCTCAAACATGGTACAGTGCACATTTTCAAAGATCTCATGGCCACGGGCCCTTGGTATTGTGATTATGGATTATTCAATTAAGTTTAGCATGGCATGTTCTGGCGTCATGAACATTATACTCCAGTGCTCGATGAAATTCAACACCCTGATCGCAATTATTGGGTATCATCCGTTTTCCATACTAAAGCATTCAAAGTTTTCCTCCACTTTCAACTACAAAGCACATCTTGATCAAGCCCGGCTTCCGGGACCGTAGTACGTCCCATCCAGGCCTGGCTGTGCCTCCCTCTCAATGGTGTCAACATTAGCTCCTGTCATCTGCCCTTTGTCGTGCTGTGGTTGAAAAGAGGCTTGCTGCGGGGAGTATGGGTAGGGCTGGTAGGAACCTGCAGGCTGCATCGGCGGCGGCCCATTGATAGGGACCATGTAGACGGGAGGAGGGCGAGCATTGCGCTGCTTGCACTCAATACATGCGCGGACGAAGAGGGTGAAGTTATTGATACTATGAAGTATTAGCAGTCATCCCGAGGCATCTTAGAAAATTTGTTATACTTACAGCAAGAGGGCAGTGAACGCCATCACTGTATCCTGCATAGAGGTGATCTGGCCGCCGCTGAACACCCACGACCGCGGACCATCGCGGAGGATAATGTTTGCAATCTCCCATCCCGTGGCCACGAGGAAGACGAGCCAGAAGAGCAGGTGCATTCCGACATGAGAACCGGGGTGAATTCCTCGTCTCCCGCCTCTTGCGCAGATGGTGATCAGTTCGGAGGTTTCCCAGCATATAAGAACGGCAGCCTACAAGCGGGTTAGACATCATATCTTTTTCGATTTAATTCCAAAGCTGTGAGTCCATCGGGTACTTACGGGGAATCCACTGAATACAAGGTAGAATGAACTTGAAAATGAGTAAAGCACAAGAGAGACTGAGATGCCGATGACGATGGCACCGAATGCAATGTTGAGACTACGTAGGACAATCTTTGCTCGGTGCCATTTTCCGTTGAATGGGATTTCACGAGGACCTTGTTGCGCGTATGGCACGTAGCCTTCGAAGCCATCAGGCGGAGCGTACTGCGACTGTGGTACGTACTGGGCTGAAGCCATGATGAATAAAGTGAGGTGGCTGAATGAGCGTCTTACACAACTTGATAGCAACCTAACAATACGAGAGTCCACGATATTGGGGTAATCCGGACAACAAAATGAGCGATGAGAAGATCAGTGAGACCTTCAACACGAACCGAAAAGGAGCAAGAGACACAGGCGTTGGTTCAAATTTTCGGCAAAGGATTTTTGGCTCATTTTATCACACGACTGTGCCGCTCTTCTAACGGTTTGGTGCATGATACAGGCACCGGCGCGGTAACAATCGCGTCCCAAAAAGGACGGCGCCCCTGGCTAGAACCAGTTGGCGGCGGAGATCAAGGGTCTTGCCATTGGACCACAATTTTGGCTCATATGGGCCTTAAGCAGAACCCTGTCAGCTGTGCCGCTGGCTGCCTGGAGACTGGAGTCTAGACACAAAGGAAACCCCAGTTCATGCCACGAGACCTGACGATGCACTACGATCGCGGGATCGAGAAAACGACGATACTCGAGAGCAAGAGAGACAATGTTTGATCCAATGCATGGACCTCGGTGTTTGCTGCGATTGAGGGATTTCCAGAGCTGCTCGCGACATGATTCTCTCTTCTCTGTAAATCCCAGCATTGATGGCCAGTTGTACCATGGGAATCTCTGTGGAGTGCGGACGTCTGTCTCACTTCACAGAAGCGCGGCAATGACCGGTACATGCCCCGCCAAATGTTCAACACCGAGGCCGCTTCTCGGTCACCAACATCAATCAGTCGGAGCATCACGATCACGGCCGCCCAACAACCGCATTTGTGCTGCTTTCCCCAACCCTTTCGGTCTCTGCAATGGTTTTCGCGATTCTGGCGCTGCACGGTTCCCGGCTCGTTCCGAATGTAGGTATCAAATTTTTGGCCATAACGACGGATCTACTCTCTTTGCAGCACCACTACCAAGCCCATTATTCCCAGCATTGCCGTCTTCAACCACGGGTATTCTGAGAGGAGGATCGTGACGTAGCCGACGAAGGGAATGTATGCGACGACGCTGCCGATGATGTCCTTGCGCACGAGGTAGTCCTGGTCCTTGGCATACAGCTCTGCTTTTGATCAGTCTCTACTCGCTGAGGATTATTGGGGCACCACGAACCAGTGTCATCGGAGTTGTTGTTGTCGCCCTTGGTGAGGAGCTTCGCTTCCGGTCTACAACGAGCATCTTAGTCAGTGAAGAAGACGAGGGGGGGCAGAATGTAGTGGGGACATACCCGGAGCCGAATCTGCGGACCACTCTGTGGACAATGGGAATGTTCTTGCCCTTGACTTCGTAGACAACGATCTCGCCAACGTCAGTTTCCTGGATCAGGTTGCGGTTCCACAGGAAAAGGAGATCGCCTCTTTGAAAGGCAGGCTCCATGGAGCCACTGAGAACGACGACGATCGGGCTGGGAGAATCGGAAATCACGGAAAGACCCTTCCACATCTACCACTGGAGTTAGCAAGAGCTTCTTTGGGGAGTAACGCTGTGCGTACCATGAAGGCAGTCGAAAGGATCAGCGCAAAGTTGAGCAGCTGCGACGCCGCCTGGCGCGGGTTTCCGAGAGCCGACAACATATTTCTGGCGGTTCTGGCAAGTGTGGGCGGTGTTGTAGTTAGCCTCGTCGGTGGCGGTAGAAGGTCTCGGGTCGTGATGTTCAGTTTGGAGTTGAGTTCTGGCCAGCAAGGCACCTTCCTTGAAGCTGGAGCAAGAGCAAGAGCACAGGCCAGCTGTTTTGCAGACGTGGAACGTGTCAATGGACATCACGAGGTACGTACTCTGCTTATCTTATCGTTCTTGGCCAACCGTCTCGTCGGCTCAAGACGGATGAGGTGCACAGACCACGGTTTGTTCTCCTTCAGGCAGGCTTCAGCTCTCGAGTCCAGTGATCTTGCCTCATCTAACATCTTCAAGCTGCAAGCTGCAACTAAGGTACCTTACTGCATAGGTAGGTAGGCAAAATCACACAAATAATGGTGCAAATTCCTGCAGCTCAAGCATCAATTGAGTTGAACGTATTCTCGTACCCAAGTATTGAATGCCAATCATTTTGCTGGAATATGCTAAAAGTCAAACACAACACGCTCCCACTCATCACGGGGTTGGGATATTGGCAATTGAAGTGAGCTATAAGAACTAGCCTGAAGCCGTCCCGACAACATCATGAATTCATATCAAAATTCATGTCTCTTTCCTGAGCTCAATTGCTCGCTTGGAACTGCAACAAATACCCCAGCACGCGCGATGGCTTCCTTCCTGGTTGAAAGCCGATGCTGCCCGTTACCTGCCTTCCCAAACCTCAACTTGGGCATTCCGGGTCACTTCCTTCCACCCATCATAGATGAACGCCTCAGCAAGGCACATGCCTTCCTTCCATGAATGAGATAACTACCAACGGCAGTCGCATTCTCACCAGAAAATGGAAGGCAGCATCCCTCCCATTGACATCTTCCACATGTCTCTGTCCTATGTTCTCCCATCTCGTTCTCCGTTCCTCGACCTGACATCCCTCTCTCAGCTTCTTCCTTGACGTCTTTGCCTGGTGTTTTCCAACAAGCTGTCAGCCGTCCTCTGTATCAAAAGCCATACCAAGACGCCCAAAGCACCTCTCTTAGGCTTCAAACCTCGACTACATCTCTTCAGTATCCTGCCCAGCCTCCGTTAGTTTCCATCGCGATGGACGCCTCCGTCACCACTCCGTTGCTCCACGGGCAATCAGAGTTCCAAGATGGACATGGCCTGCCAACGCCAGCATCATATGGCCAGGTCCAGGACCATGTACGTTGCGGAGTCGAGTGCCGTACGTTTTCATTGCTGGAGCTAATCTTCCTTTCTTAGCCTGCATTTCTTAGAGCATGCCATTCACCATGGCGGTCCTTTTCCCAGAACCACTTGTGTTGGGTTCGAGGTGGCATTGTTGCCTATCTGACCGCAGTCGGAGCTACGGTTCTTGACTACAAGCTGCGAAAAGAAGAGTCTGCTTACTCTGACTGGCGGGTGGTCTTTGACTTCTCCGTTGTCACCTTTTCTCTGCTTTTGGCCTACCACGCGGTTGTTCTGGTACGTCAAGTCACAGCCTAGGTAGTCAGGTAGTCTAAGTGGTGGCTTGTTGCTGACCTTGATCCTCAATCCTAGGGCTGGACATACACTCATCTCTATCATCCACACATCGAGGAAACCAGCACTGGCTGGGAGTACTGGGCATTAAGAACACTGTCATTGCCCTACGACATGGCCAGTCTTCGCAAGCAGTTCTACTTCACCTTGTTTTACACCACTACAACTGTTTTCACCTTCATGAATACAGTCATCTACTGGTTTGTCACACTGGAGCACGATGACAAGAACACGGGAGAGCCCCCCAAGCCTCAGCCATCCGGAGGCTCCGCCATGGCCGACATGATTGGGGACTCCTTCGCATACGAATGGACCAGCTTGGAGGACACACACAAGAATGGGCCACATGAACCTTGTAAGTCATGACGTCTAATTGATGTTAACTTGGTCTAATACCACATTATCAGTCACGGAGATATTCGGAAAGGGCTGGTACAAGGCCTTTGTCATCATCAATCTCTTCGGCATCACATCGGTCGTCTCCCTCATTGAAATCTTCTGGCTCAACAGCATCAAGCGTCCCTTTGTGAGTTGCCTTGTACCTGAGGCAAGAAACATACACTGACACGACTGAAACGGGCAGGGCGTTGGCGCACACACTTTGGGCGTCATCTTCTTCGCGGGTCTCTATCTCGGTTGGGCAGCCATCGGCAAAGTCGAGACTGGCGCCGATGCCTTTTACTGGCTGAACGAGAAGAACGTCGGATCCCGTGAGGCCGTGGTGGCATCGTCGATTGGATTTGTAATCCTTGCTCCCATCAGTGGGTTCTCTCTGGTACCTGGTGACTTTGACCAAGATGATACTGACTTGTTGGTTAGTGTACGCATTCATGTACGGTCTCGTTGGTATGCGCGAGAACATGGCCCGAGCTGCTCACACGAGACGGGTTGCCGCCGCTGCCGCGGTGGCGGGCCACTGAGGGACTTTCGGTCCAGACGGGTCTTGTCGGAGATGAACGGGGCAGGCGTCGGGCGGTGAGCACGGCGGTGGTGGCCGGTTCCATCGGGCTTGGCCATGCGTCGTTGATAGGTACAGTGGACGGATGCCTCAGATTGTAGGATTGATAAGGCATGCATCGGGCTGGAGTCGAGGATGGTGTAATGTACCCCTCGAGGCGGTGGAGGGCGAGATGCCAGGGAGGGTCAACATACGATTACCAAAATAACCTAGAGCATTATGACTTCCAACACGCAACTCCTATTTTCCCAGGGACCGAGGCATCGTCTGGCGAATGAATCGTGATTACTGGAAAGGGGAGTCCACGACTAAGGTTGGCAGGCAATGGTATCATGGGCGTTGACGGGACGGGACGCGAGGGGAAGACCGATGGATGGATCATGGAGCTGGGGCAAGGAGCGGTGTTGAGGCGGTGATGCAGGTCACTGGGCTTGCCGACGATGAAGACAGGCGGAGAGCAGGGATTGGGGGAGACAAGCGAGCGGGACGGGGTCCTGGTGGCTCTCGATGATTGGCGGCGGTGATTTTGTGCCTGAATCTGCCCGACTAGCGGCAAACGCCAATCTCGAAGAGGGACGCAAAGTCGACGATGTGATTTTGTCCGAGGAGAGGGAGGGGGGAGCAAGAGGAGGGGTTTAGTTGCAAGGGTTCGTGGATCGATCCATGGACCAAGGAGACTATTCGTAGAACTAGGATATTGGGCTGAGGAGGGGTTGAGAGCCGAGACGAGTCGAACGGGGATTCTAGAAGTTGAGTCCGAAGCAGCGGCTTGCCTGGTCTGGCAACTGGCTAGGTAGGTGGCTGACTATCGTATGGAAAGAGTCTGTCGTTCATGCGGCTTTGAGCGAGTTTGGATGGGTTCAGAGGGGTTTGGATGAAATAAAGTTAGGTTGTGGCTAGTGAGACAGTGAGGTCTGAATGCGTTCTCGCCAGCGCTACTGAGACCAATGTGAAGCAGCCTGGGGAAAGAAGGTAGACGCTGGCGAGCTCTCAGTCGTGGAAAGGCAGTGAAGACTGAGGAGGAACTGCGTCGTAAGGCACCTACACGCAAGTTCAGGTCTCGAAGTATTGCAGAGAGCATGAGGCTCTATCCAATCCCGCGTGGCAGGGCGGAAGCTTGGGCGATCCGGGGGACGGCGGCGATGAGGGGAGAGGTGCAGAGGTGCAGAGGTGCAGAGGTGCATAGGTTGCAGAGGTTGCAGCATCTCGAGCAGTCCCGATCCTGCGAGGATAGAGTAGACAGCAACCATGGCAACCGTGGCAACCGTGGGCGGCATGTCCAGACGACGAACCTTGGAACTCACCAACCGGAAGGGCAGAAGTCGAGCCGCCAGTGAGTTGGCAGCTTGGCCGAATCAGTCGGATACCTTATCGATCACGGAATCTTGTTGGGCACTCTGAGGTATCGGTGCTCATGACCCGGGCAACGAGCCAATGGCACTGCCAAGGGGTCGTCGACCGCCTTCTCGCGACTTCTTCTGGCGTCCATGAGGGATCCATGAGGTGTGTCCATGACTCCTGAGATGTCCTGAGGTGTTTGGGAGGTGCAGTCCTGAGGTGTCGATTCTGGAAGAGGGAAATGAGAAGAACCACCAAGGACTCGCGCAACTGAGGGAGCCCCGCGTTGCGACGCCCTCACGTGCGGTCCTGACGACAGCGCATGCGAAGATGGTGAGGTGTCTACGGATGAGGTTTCTTGGGCCGCCATTCCCGACTTTGGACCCCCCCCCGGATGCCTTCTTGGCGGAATCGGATGAAGGAACATGAGGTACATGGCGGATGTATCTGGACCAAGCCCAATTGAGGTATGTTACTTCGTACCTCGTGCCTGAGGTGAAGTTGGAAGTACTCCAGTCTGCCAACGCACCGGGAGGCCCGTTCCCAATCTCGGGGGGTCGGAGAAGGCACGGAGGGGAAGGGGGGGGGTTCTGGTCTGGGCCCAAGGCCGATGGCCGGTGACCGTTTGTTTCCAGGGAGCCTCCACAGGTACCGGCACCTGTTATTGAAGAGTACTTCTGACACACGCACGAACATAACTGATGGGAGGTACCTCAGATAAGAACTTAGACTTGATTTTTAGGTCTGGCTCCTGAGGCAAAGGGGAAAGTGTCGGGTGCCTTAGCGGCTACTCCCCGGTTGGAGGCGCGGCGGTTGGCGGATACCCAAGAAAAGATACGTAGCTCACGTCTGGGCCAGTCACCTACCCTCCCGTCGTGTCAGTCTTGCGTATCAGTCCAGTCAGTCAGGGCCGTTGCGTGTACCTACTTGCTTCCGTCCTGGAGTCACTGCTTGTCCTTGTTCCATTGGCGAAGCACAGAAAGAGAGAGAGGGAGAGGGAGAGGGAGAGGGAGAGAGCCCAACAGCCTGGAACCTGCAACGGTGAAGCTGAGTGGCAGTTGGCAAGTACCGCGTGTGAAGTCACTGACGTCCTCGACGTTCCATTTTGGTCGTGGTTAGGCGGCGATGCTGCCTGGGCTGTCCATGTCTGCCCGGTCCGCAGCTGGCAATATGCCCCAACAGCGTTCATGGCCGTTCAGCTCTGTGGATTTGTCCCCAGGTTCCCTCAAGCGTCAGCAACGCGCGCCAGTTGTTTACCCTGCTCCGCCGAACATCAAGTACCTGCTGGCGTGAAGTCAGTGCTTGCGAGTACTTGGGACGGGAAGTCCAAGGTAGAGAGTGCCGTGAGTAGTGCTTGGATCTTGGGGGGATCATGGATGATGAGGTGGTGTTCGTCCTATCACACACGCGGCTCGCACTACGCAACACACTCCCGCCGCCACCCAAATTATACGGCGGTTGGGAAGACGCCGACCAATGATACCCTGCCAAAGAAGAGATCCAGCCTAAAAACATCACCAACTTAACGTGATGGTATAAGTATGAAGGCCCCCCCTCCGCAATCCACCCCTCTTCTCTCTTGTTCTTCCCCCCCCCCCCCTCAACCACAACCAAAAAAAGGGTCGCAAAGTTGCAAGTTGGGAATACCTCCTTGGGTCGTTCGTTACTGAATTCCCTTTCCATAGGAGGCATCTCTCACCCCGGACCCCCAGTCAATCTTTTTGTGTGTCACTCGTCCCTCACTTCTCTCTCACACTCTCTCTTCTCTCTCTCTCTCTCTCTCTCTATCCCCCCCTCCCCCCTCCGATCCGAACACCCCTCCAACTTCGTCATTCCTCCCTCTCCTCTATTCGCTCATTTCGTCGCTCTCTACAAGTCTTCTTATCCCGTAGACAAAGACATATAAGGTCCCTGAGCAACGCGCTCTCCATCGTCTCAGCTTCCCTTGTCTTTACTCTATCGTTCCCCATTCGAGTTGTCATTCCTTAATCAGAATAACAACATCAACACCAACAGCATCAGCAACAACAACTTCTTCGGGCCAACAACGCCCGCTCTCTCTTAGCAAACCAACAACCGTCATGTCGTTGTTCAAGCGCACCTTCAGGTCGCAAGACCCCAATGTCCGCGTCGACAAGACGTCCAGGCTGAAGAAGTCAAGCTCGACCCGGGATCACCAGAAGGTATCGAAAATGCAACAGTCCGTCAACGAGAAGCCCGCCATGGCCCCGCCAGCCGTCCCCGCACCGCTGCCGACCAAGACGGGCAAGTCCGTGGCCCCTTCACCCATCGTCACCTTGACCGTGGGACGCGAGGGCCGACTGTTTGCCGCACACGAGGACGTCCTCTTCCAGTCGCCCTTCTTCGAGGCCGCCTGCCGAGGCCAGTTCTTCGAGTCGCAGAGCAAGAGAATATCCCTCCCCGACGAAGAACCCGAGATCTTCTCCTCCGTCCTTGAGTATCTCTACAAGGGTGACTACTACCCCCGCCTCGTCCACAACAGGCACCGCAACTCTTGGGAGCTCGAGGACGCCGTCAGAGGAACTCCCCAAACTTCCCCCAACCCCGAAAACACCCCCCGAGGCGGCCGCGCGGCCGCCGTTCCCTCCACTCCCACATCGACAACTACCGGTACCACCGCGAGTGAGGCAACAATCTTCGTCTCGGGCTGCGGGCAACACATCCTCCGCGACACCGTCATCTACTGTGCTGCGGAGCGGTACGGGCTCGAGGAGCTCAAGCGCCTGGCTCTGCGCAAGCAGGGTCTTCAGTCCGGTATTGATATCGGCACCATCCTGCGCTCCGCCCAGTACGCCTACGCCCACACCCCCGACTCGGACTCGCGGCTGCGCGCTCACTACCTCGCTCTGATCATCAGGTGTCGCAAGACATTCAAGAGGAGCGGAACCATGCAAGCCGAGATGGAGCGCGGCGGTAGCAAGCTCTTCTTTGACCTGTTCGTGGCCATGTGCAACCACCTCGATGACGTTATCGACCACAGTAACGCGCGAACACCCAAGACCGTCTGAGAGGTTTCGGTTGACTTTTTGGTCTTGTTGGTTGAGTTGATCCTCGACCAGACACAACCAGAAAACACATGTACAAAAGCGATCATGGTACTGTCACGGCGTTCAACACGGTTGTTTTTTTCTTGTCACTTTGGTCTTTTGCCTTCCGGATTTGCATCACAAGGATGGGAGGTTGTCTGAGAACTGCGATCCCACGGAGGTCTGATTTTCATGCCGGAACGTCACTTACTGCCCTCTCTCTCCCACACCAGATTGGAAACGTCACCATTTGGGAGCTGTCTTTTCTTTCCTGAAAACTATCTCCACTTCTCATCGAGGTTGGCCGAACAAACCTTTCTGGTGGATTACCGGAGTCGAGGAGGATTAATACCCCCCGCAAACGAGATTCACTCCTCCCGCTCTTCTTGCTTTCATCTCTCTTCCGCATCTTCTGGACAAAGATTCCCCCAAATACAGGATACACCGGGCCCGGGCGGTTTTCTCTCTCTCTCTCTCTCTCTACCTTTTACCAATCACTGGCGTCTACCCCCTTCTGAGCTCTAGTACCCTACTCCACGTTCACTCGTAGGTGGTAAGGGAACGGCTCAAACGGCTCATCAGAGAGCGAATAAGGCGGGAAACGAAGACGGAGAAGAGACTTGTTACCTTTTGATTTTACACAAAAACACAAAACAACGACAAAAAAAAAAGACACCCACCCCAGCACCAAGTTTGTTCCACTCTTCAACTACTCTGCTTACTTGGGAACGACAAGTTACGGGTGAGGCGCAACTCCAACGACTCTCATCTCTTTCCATCGGGAAAATGGATTTTTGGGCGTTTACGGTATTAGACATGCCGGGGCACATCAGTTTGGTGCCAGTTACCATAACAGATTGTGTTTTTTGTCTTTTTTTTTCCCCATCATTTCTGAAGTTACGGATGTCTTGAGGACCTTTACGGGATTTGCCCCGCCTCCGACTCCAGGGCAGGCCGAGGAAAGCATGTACAACTCTCCAAAGCGCAACAAGGACCAGACTTTTGCGCTCACTTCTTCTGGCCTCGCCAATACCAACAACACCAACACCAAAAAAAAAAAACGG